TCGGCGACCGCGCACCAAAAATCGATGGATCGCTAATCCATGGTTGCGCGTCCCCGACTTCTGCCAGGTTCCCTAAGCTTCCCCTGAAGATGCAGAGAACTGCTCAGCAGGCGCAAGGGCTTCTGAGAAGCCCCGCCGCCTTATAGAATGCCTTCTTCTTCTTCTTACTTCCCCGCCCTCGCTCGCCGCCGAAACGGGGGAGCGGGTGACTGTCGGACGAGGGCCAGTCGAGAAAACGGCGGCCCGACCTGGCCTTTCTTCTCCTTCTCGGGCCTCGTCAACACGGCTGGATCCGCATCGAGCAGTTGGTCAGGATGGCTTCCTGGAGGGGTATGATCACCAGCCTCGATGTTACCCTACCCTCAAGATTGGCACGCCAAGAGGCGATGACAATCTTAGGGATGCGCCCTCAGGAATTAAGGGAACCCCTGAGATCGGCACCGCGATGAGCCGATGCCCAGCATAGGGATAGGGATATGCTCCAGGCTGGTAATACAGTCGGGGCCCTGAAGAAGGAACCCTTTTCGTTGGGGAGGGGCTCCGTGTTCCTTACGTGTTTCACAGCGTGCCTCAGGCTTTCCTTATGTTTTCGATCGGAAATCGAAGGTTAACTTGTGGAAAACAGGGCCTCGTTCCTTATTTAGGGTTCCTTAGATCAAGGCCCCGACTGTAGGGATAGGGATATGTTCCAGGCTGGTAATACGGGGCGTGACTCTCAGCGGATTGGGGCTGGGCGGGCGAGCCTCCGTTGTCTCAACTGGCCCCCATCCGAGGATCGCCGGGGGGGCTCGGCTCGGCGTGCCGTCCGCGACGCCGCTCCGTGTAGTGGGCGCAGCGGCCTTCTTGGCAGGAGGAGGAGGAGGAGGAGGAGGAGGAGGAGGAGGAGGAGGAGGAGGGACGAGGACGAGACGAGGCGAGAACGGGAGAGACGAGGACGAGGGGAGGAAGAGGACGAGGAGGAGGAGGAGGGACGAGAGGACGAGGACGAGGAGGACGAGGACGAGGAGGACGAGGAGGACGAGGAGGAATGAGAGGAGGAGGAGGAGGGGAGGAGGAGGAGGAGGAGGAGGAGGAGGACGAGGAGACGAGGACGAGGGAGGACGAGGACGAGGAGGAGGACGAGGAGGAGGAGGAGGAGGAGGAGGAGGAAGAGGACGACGAGGAGGAGGGAGGAGGAGAGAGGAGGGAGGAGGAGGAGGAGGAGGAGGCAGGGGCCCCTGCAGTGGGCACACTGGCGCCCCCTGCGGGCGCAGCGGGCCTCGGAGTGGGCGCAGGGGTTCCCTCCTGTCGCGTCCCTCTCAGGCGGCCAGGGGCCACCGGGGATGCCCGACGGGGCCTGCAGGATCGTGCAGTTGCCCCCCCTCCCCCCCGAGAGGGGAAGGATCTCACGCGCGCCCTGCAGGCCCCGTCGAAGCCAGGCAGGCAGCTGTTGCAGTCGGCGTTGCCTTGGGCCCGCGCCGCTCCGCCGCGGGCGCCGCCAAGGCCCTCCGCGCGGGAGGGCGCTCGGCTGCGGCGAGGACTCTGGGAAGATCGAGCCCCGACCGAGGCAGGCCTCCTCCTCCTCCTCCTCCTCCTCCTCCTCCTCCTGCCCCTCCTCCTTCTCCTCGTCCTCCTCCTCCTCCTCCTCCTCCTCCTCCTCCTCCTCCTCCTCCTGCCCCTCCTCCTGCGCGGACAGGCCGCGGTGCTTCTCGACGAGGCCCTGCACAGGGCTCGGTCGCCCGGCTGCCCGGACGACCCTCGAGGGACCGTGCAGATGATCCCCCCGCCCCCGGCCGTCCGCCCCTCCCGCTGCTGGCACGTCGCCTAATCTGGACGCCCGAAATGGGCACGGACAAAAAGTTGTGAAGTGCCCAACAGCAGTTCCTGTTCGTTTTGGACAGGATTCGCTGTCCACGCCGCCGCGGCCTGTGTCCATTCGAGACAGAAGGCCGCCTGCAGGGGGGGCGATGATCGGGCCGAACGAAAGGGGGGGATTGGGAAAGGGGGGGGTTACGCGAAATCTGCTGCATGCAGCTGGTTTCGGCCCCACCGAGGGGCCCCTTCCTCGATACATGGGCGCATCCCGGCGCCGGGAGGCGCCGGGAGAATCAGCTACGTGAGCTGATTATCAAACCCCCCCTTTGCTATCCCCCCCGTTCGCCCGGCGGCGAGCGAGGGCCACGGGACCCCTCCCAGGGCCCCTGCTGGCCAGAACCTCAATGTCTGCGGCGAGCGAGGGGGGGGAGTGAGAAGGAGAAGGCCTTCTCAGAAGGTGGCGGGACTTCTCAGAAGCCCTCGCGCCTTCTGAGAAGTGTTCTGCGTCTTCGGGGAAAGTTCGAAAACTTCTCAGAAGGCCGGGGGACTTCTCATTTCCCCCCGGGCTTGCTACCGACAAAGGGACCCCAGCCGCGGCGATGGGAGGCACAAGGACATAGATACATAGATCTCCGATCGCTTGGTCACTCATCATTCGATCATCGTCGTCGTCGCCACGATCCGTCCAAAGCCAGTCTCCAGACCCCTCCCGGGGGACCACCTTGGCAGGTCTGGCGTTCCTGATCGAGTTCTGTCCGTCCCGGGTCCCGCAACGGGCCCCCATGGGCCGAAACTGAAGACACATCGGACGGGGCTAGGACGAAGAGAAATCCGTTCCAGAGAGTTCTGGAACGTTTTACCAGCTTTCCAGAAATCTCTGACAAGGCCGGTGCACATGAGACATCCTCCAGAGTTGCCGGATCTCAGAGATTCCCGATTTCTCATGGGGAAGCCAGAAGGTACTACTACTGCTACTCCCGGGGCCTCTCCTGGGGTGCGCTCTGACCAGAATTTCGAGGCGAATCCAGCGGTGGCGACGAGATCCTGCGAGAAGGCCCACAAAAGGAGAAAACGGCCGAAGGGTAGAGGTATGGGTACCTTTTCCTTCTCAGATCTCCTCACCCGAATTTGTTTTCGTCCTGGCCTCGGATTGACCCAAAAGGGCGTCCAGCGACAAGGGGGTGGTGCAATAGATCTGGTGCAATAGATTTGTGGGGTTGCAATACATTTGGGGCGTGCAGCGCAAATGTATTGCTGGTTTTCCGCGCGCAATACGTTAGTTGCAATACATTGCACTACAGTTCTCTGGCGCGAAACGTTTGCAATACCACTGCCCAACATCCCTTGCACCACCCCCCTTCAGCTGGACCCCCCTTTCGGGGGTGGACAGAACCCCCAACAGTGACACGTGAATTAGTGAATTGTCCGTTTTCGGTTCTCGAGAGGGCGCCGTGGCCGTCATTTTCCAGGCTCGCGCCCGCCAGGTTTGGGCCTCAGGCCGTCTTCACTAAGCCACGTTTTGCTAAAGGGGGGTCTGTCCATCCCCGACCCTCTGTGTTACCCAAAAAGGCTTCGTCCGAAGACGCCGTCGTCGGCGTCGCCGCCGCGCGCTCTTCGTCGCCGCCCCCGCCGCCGCCGCCCGCGTCGGCGCCGCGTGCCCCCGAGCGTCGGCGCCGTCGGCGCCGTCGGCGCCGCGTGCCCCGCGCGGGCAGGCGCTGCCCGAGATCGACATGGCGGCCGCCACCAAGCCGCTGGCGCAGAAGCTGGCCGCGGAGAAGCTGCGGTACGAGAAGGAGCTCGAGGCCCTGGGGCTCCTGAGGAGGGTCTGGTACTCCAGATTTCGTAATAAAAGGGAGGGGGTCTCAACCCTCCCAGACGAGAAGTTTTAGACCCTCCCAGACCATCCATGAAAGGGCGGCCCTTTGCCCAGACCCCCCCGAACCCTCCAAGACAGCTCAAATCAGACCCCCCCCCAAATGTGACCCCCCCGACTTTATTGTGAAGTCTGGAGTACCCATACCTCCAATTACCCTTCGCCCGCTTCCCCCATTCCGGGCCGCCTGGGAGGCCCTCGTCGCCACCGCTGGATTCGCCGTGAGATTCTGGTCAAAACGCACCCCAGGAGAGGTCCGGGGAGTGGCGGTATGGGTACCTTTCCTTTTCCCCTTTTCGGCCGCCCTTCTTCGGCGACGTTGTTCCAAGTTTCGAGGTTTCAGGGTTCCAGGCCTCCCAGACGGGTCCGGATACATGGGTTCGGAGGATCGCGCCGCGTCGCCGATGTATCGCCGATGCGGCTCGATGTGGAGCCTGATTTTGTCCACGCCGATGGCGCGGATGCACCGCTGACGTCGTCGATGGATCGTCGATGCATCGGCGATGTATCGGCGATGCGGCGCGATCCTTCGAGCCCATTTATTGGGACCCCATTTGCGGGAGGCCTCGCGGGTACGAGACGGAACTGGAGGACTTTTGGCCGACCTTTTTCGACGAAGAGATTCCAAGGTTCGAGGTTCAAGGATGGAGAGGTTTGAGCGGTTGGGGCCACTTCGCGCTTCCTAGAGCGTCTTCGCCGCCATGGGTGGATTTCCGTAAGAATTCCTGTCAGAACACACCCGGTGACAGGTGAATGTTGAAATTTCGGAATCTTCTGGAGCTTCTTGTGCCGTCCTGTCGCAGCGGATGGATTCGCTCTGGCATGTGTGCCGGATTACGCCCCTAGACTGGTCCAGGGGGCGAGTGTTGAGGGGACACGACGACATCTTCGCTTCAGCGGATTGTTGGGCGTTTCTGGATGTTTTTGTCGCCAGTGCCTGGTGCGGCCTGGAAATCTAACCGCGACGGACCACGGTACATAATTGTCCAGGGGCAGAACTTTTGAGGCCTTCGCAGACCTTCCTGCTCCTCTTCCCCCCCTCCTCTCTCCCTTTTCCTCCTCCTCAATCCTTCCTTCCTCCCCCCTTCCTCTCTCCTCTCTCCCTTCTGCCCTCCTCTCTCCTCTCTCCCTTCCTCCCCCCTCTTCTCTCTCCCTCCTCCCCCCTCTCCTCTCTCCCTTCTCCCACCTTCCTCTCTCTCCTCTCTCTCTCTCTCTTCCTCCTCCTCTCTCCTCTCTCCCTTCTCCTCAATCCTTCCTCCTCCCCCCTTCCTCCGACGCCACAGCCTGAGGCGCAACCGAAGTTCGCTTCTCTAGCCGAGAGAACCCTCTGGCGAGACGACTTCCCCCTGACCCCAGAGAGCTCCCAACCCATAGGGCCTGCCTGCAGCACCTCGAAGTTCTGGTTCTCCTCCAGACCGCCGTCGGCAGCGCTCGAGGAGACCCTGGCCCGCCCGAATCTCGCAAACGTACCCAGCGGCCAAGTACATGGAACTCAGCCCGCTGCACTGCACTACACTGCACCACCAACCAATCAAAAAGGTGAGTGTCGTCACATCTGGCAAACACCTAACCTCACTAATCGTCTTCGCCAGCGCTCGTTCTCTTACATTTTCCGCGGCGCCCGCCAGGTGTTCTTTTGACCCGAGTCGCTTCTTGTTTCCATTCAAGAGCGCCACCATCGTGGGATCCAGGTCTGGTCCACGTGCAAGGACGAGGAGGGCGAGGAGGATGGTCAAGGCTGTCGCCTGGGACGGGGGGTAAACTCTGACACTGCTCGTGTCCCGACCGCCGTGGCCTTCGACCGGCTGTGGATCCCCTCGCTCCCTCCTGAGCTGCTGCGCGACGTGACGGGGCGTCGCCCGTGCCTCGCTGCCAGGGGCAGGAGGAGGAGGAGGGCGAGGAGTCCGATACCGAGAGTCACTCTCGAGGCCCAGCGACGACGACGGCGACGACGACGACGGCGACGACGACGACGGCGACGGCGACGGCGGCGACGACGACGACGTCGTGTCGAGGCTTCTGCAGGCCCCCGGAGGTGCGCATCGCACAGGCAGCTTGCTTCTGCACAGGCACTGTGGTGTACGGGCGTCGGGTCTTTGTGGTGCGCGCTCGCTGCTTCCGCACCTGTGGTGTACACGGGCGCTGTGGTGAACGCAAGCGCTGTGGTCAAGCGGCCATTGTCGTGTACGCAGGCATTGTGGTTTACGCAGGCGTTGTGGTGTGCACGTGCTGGTGCAGTGCCGCCGCCTCAGGTGTGTACACAGGCGTGGTGGTGTAAAGACTCGCAGTGGTGTAGACAGGCAGTGCTGTTCACACTGCCCCTGTGGTGCAAAACGGTCGCTGTGGTGTACGTAGGCGCTGTGGTTCACACAACCGCTGCTTCAGCACGTGTGGTGCACTCAAACACTAGTGTGTTGAGCTGCGCGTAGCCTTCTTGGTAGACATGTTATGTGCACAACTTGGTGTACAGAGGCATCGTTGTTCATACAGGCCGACTGGCGCACGCAAGCGTTATCGCAAGCATTGTGGTGTGCAGGGGCATTGATGTACCCTGCAGGCCCTTCCGCGTGAATCTTGTGCACGCGCAGGCGCTGTTGTACGTCCGCTGTTCTCAACTAATGATTTTGAGAAGCCCCATACGATGTGCCAAGCTATCCCTTGCAGACCCTACCCGCATGCTAGTCCTAATTAGTTGCCCTTAGCTATTCTCAGCATTTCCAAATCGCGCCTGCACGAAACATGACGTTACCAGGGCGGGGCCGGGCGGGTAAGGGCCGTCATCGCGGATCGTTGGAGGACGCTCTCCTGGTTGCTCTTCCCCCTTCTCCTCCTCCTCCTCCTCCTCCTCCTCCTCCTCCTCCTCCTCCTCCTCCTCCTCCCTTCCCTGCCCATTCCTGATGGCCCAGTGGGGCTCGGAGTGTCGGCCCCGGGCGCCGAGATCGAGAGGCAATTTCCAGGAAGAAGGGTAGGGGAAGTGGTGGCGGCGGGGGCCCGGGCGCAGGAAGCTCAGGGGCGGAAGGGCCCCTGCTCGTCGTCGTCCCCGTCGCCCTCGCCCTGTCGGCGGGGAGGAGGAGCGGCAGCAGCACCACCACCCGGAGGGGCCTCTCCTCCTCCTCCTCCTCCTCCTCCTCCTCCTCCTTCTCCTCCTCTTCCAGCGAGGAGGTCCACGATGCCACCCCCGAGCCGAGGAGAGGGGGCGTCTCGAGCGAGAGGGGGGGGGACAGCACCATGGGTTACCGCTCCTGGCTCCGCCCGCTTGTGGTCCCTGCCAGTGGTGGTGCCCTCGTCGTCGTCGTCATCGTCGTCGTCGTGGTCGTCTTCGTCGTCGTTGCCGTCGTCGTCATTTCGTCGTCGTCATTTCGTCGTCGTCATTTCGTCGTCGTCGATCTCGTCGTCGTCGCCGTTTCGGCGTGGTCGTCGTCGTTGTCGTCGTCATTTCGTCCTCATGTCGTCGTCGTTGTCAGTTCGTCGTCGTCATTGAATCATCGTCATCGTCATTTTGTCGTCGTCGTCATTTTGTCGTCGTCGTCGTCGTCGTCCTTTTCTCTTCGTCATTTCGTCGTCGTCAGTTCGTCTTCGTCATTTCGTCGTCGTCGTCATTTAGTCGTCACCGTCATCATCTCGTCATCGTCATTTTGTCGTCGTCATTTCGTCGCCGTCGTTGTCGTCTTCATCGCCGCCGTTATTTCGGCGTTGTCGTCGTCGTCTCAGTTATTCGTCGTCGTCGTCATGTCGTCGTCGGCATCATTTCGTCGTCGTCGTCATTTCGTCCTCGTCGTCGTCATTTCGTGTTCGTCATTTCGTCTTCTTCGCCATTTCGTTGTCGGCGTCGTCTTTTCGTCGTCGTCATATCGTCGTCGTCACTTTGACGTCGTTGTCGTGGTCGTCGTCATTTTGCCGTCGTGATTTAGTCGTCGTCGTCGTCATTTCGTCGTCGTCGTCATTTTGTTGTCGTCGTCATCATTTCGTCGTCGTCGTCATTCCGTCGTCGTCATTTCGTCTTCGTGATTTCGTCGTCGTCATTTCGTCGTCGTCGTCAGTTCGTCGTCATGTCGTCGTCGTCATTTCCTCGTCGTCGTTGTCGTCGTTGTCGTCGTCGTCGTTGCCGTCGTCGTCGCCGTCGTCATTTCGGCGTTGTCGCCGTCGTTGTCGTCGTCATTTCGTCGTCATGTCGTCGGCGTTGTCATTTCGTCGTCGTCATTTCATCGTCGTCATCGTCATTTAGTCGTCGTCGTCGTCATTTCGTCGTCGCCGTCGTTGTCGGCGTCGTCGTCGCCGTCGATATTTCGCCGTCGTCATTTCGTCGTCGTCAGTTAGTCGTTGTCGTCGTCGTCATTACATCGTCGTCGTCATTTCGTCCTCGTCATTTCGTCTTCGTCATTTCGTCGTCGGCGTCATTTCGTTGTCGTCGTCATTTCGTCGTCGTCATTTCGTCGTCGTCATTTCGTCGTCGTTGTCGTCGCCGTCGCCATCATCGTTTCGGCGTGGTCGTAGTCGTTTTCGTCGTCATTTCGTCGTCGTCAGTTAGTCGTTGTCGTCGTCATTTCGTCGCCGTTGGCATTTCGTTTTTGTCGTCAGTTCGTCGTCCTCATTTCATTGTCGTCGTCGTCGTTATCTCCTTGTAGTCGTCGTCATGTCGTCGTCGCCGTTGTCATTTCGTCATTGGCAGTTCGTCTTCGTCATTTCGTTGTCGTCATTTAGTCGTCGCCGTCGTCATCTCGTCGTCGTCATTTTGTGGTCGTCATTTCGTCGCCGTCGTTGTCGTCTTCATCGCCGCCGTTACTTCGGCGTTGTCGTCGTCGTTGTCGTCGTCGTCATTTCGTCGTCGTAGTCATTTCGTCGTCGTAATTTAGTCGTCGTCGTCCTCATTTCGTCGCCGTCGTCATTTCGTTGTCGTCGATGTCATTTCGTCGTCGTCATTTCGTCGCCGTCATTTAGTCGTCGTCATCGTCGTCACTTCGTTGCCGTTTTCATTTCGTTGTCGTTGTCGTCATTTCGTCGTCGTCGTCGTCCTCCGTCGTCATTCCGTCGTTGTCATTGCGTCGTCGTCAGTTTGTCTTCGTTGACATTTCGTCGTCGTCGTCGTTTGTGGTCGTCGTCCTTTCGTCTTCGCCATTTTGTCATCGTCGTCGTCGTCGTGGCCGTCGTTTGCTCGGCGTCGTCATCGTGGTTGCCGTCGTCACCACCGTCACTTCCTCCTCGCCACGTCGTCCTTGTCATTTCGTCCTCGTCCACCCGAAGAGGAGTCGGGGGTGGACAGAACCCCCAACAGTGACACGTCGATAAGTGAATTGTCCGTCTTCGGTTCTCGAGAGGGCGCCGCGGCCGTTATCTTCCAGGCTTGCGCCCGCCAGGTTTGGGCCTCAGGTCATTTTCACTAAACCACGTTTTACTAAAGGGAGGTCTGTCCATCCCCGAAGGAGGGCCCGCGCCCCCCGACGCCCAGGCGCTCCGCGCCAAGGCCCGCGCAGACGCCACGGCGGCGCTCGCCGGCGCCGAGGAGGCCGAGGCCCTGACGGCGGGCCTCCGCGCGCAGCTCGAGGCCGCAGCCTGCGGCCGCCGCCGCGGCCGGCCTCCGCCGCCGCCTCCTCGCCCTCCTCGCCTTCCTTCTCCTCCTCCTCCTCCTCCTCCTCCTCCTGCTCCTTCTCCTCCTCCTCCTGCTCCTTCTCCTCCTCCTCCTCGTCTTCCCCTCCTCCTCCTCCTCCTCCTCCTCCTCGCCTTCCTTCTCCTCGCCTTCCGCCTCCTCCTCCTCCTACGACTATTCCTCCTCATCCTCCTCCTCCTCCTGGCCATCCTCCTTATCCTCGCCCTCCTCCGTCCGAGGCCTCCGCGGAGGGCCCTCTGAGGGCCTTCGCCTCAACGCGGGGGCTTCTCCATATAGCCCCCGCCCGGGGGATCGATCCTTTCGTGGGCCACGGCAGGCGGTGGATGTGGGCAGGTGCGGGACACTCGCGAGGCCAAAGGACCCCGATCTCAGATCGCTCGGTCACTGCTCGTTCGATCAGCGTCGTCGTCGCCACGATCCGTCCAGAGCCAGCCTCCAGACCCCTCCCGGGGGACCACCTTGGCAGGTCTGGCGTGCCTGATCGAGTTCTGTCGGTCCCTGGGCCCGCAACGGGTCCCCATGTGCCGAAACTGAAGGAACATCGGAGGAGGAACGGACCCGGAACGGCTGGGAGGAGGATAAATCCGTTCCAGAGCGCTCTGGAACGCTCCCGGAGCTTTCCAGAGCGCTGTGAGAAGGCCGCGGCGCCCGAGACATCCTCCAGAGATGCCGGATCTCAGAGAGTCTCGATTTGTCCTCGCCCGATGTTGTCCTCGTCTTGGCAGCTTCGTCTTGAAGATACGCGCGCCACCACTTCTCCCCGAGGCCCAGGGGACACGGCCGCCAAGCCCCAAGAGGTTTCGGAAGCTGGGGCCGGGGCCACCAGAAGCAGTCCTCGGGACCGAGGGCTGAGGCTTCAGGAATGGGGCAAAGGACCCAAGGACACGCCCCCTGGGGTCCCAGGACGTCGATTCCCCAGGCGGCGGATGTGGATAGATCCCCGCCTCGCATTCGCGGTGGCCTCCCAGAGGGCGCCTGCCGCTGGGGCAAAGGACTTGAGGACAGGCCCACGCCGTGCCCAGCGGCACGGTGGCGGACACTCAGAAGGTCCTGGCCTCGTCCTGGCTCCGCCTCAGAATATCAGATGTTTGGGTCGAGGTTCGGAGAGCGCCGCCGCCGTCGGCGCCGTCGCCACCGCCGCTGTCGCCCGCGAGTGTCTTCGGCCTCTGCACGCTGCCGCCCGCCGCCGTCGTCGCCACCATCGCGCGTGTTAACTGCTGGTATCGTTTTGAAATGTTATTATGTGGCTTCGAGTTTGATATCTGCTTCACGAGGAGGAGGAAAAACGCACCCATACCTCTACCCTTCCCTCGTTTTCCCCTTTGTGGGCCTCCTGGAGGGCTCTCGTCGCCACCGCTAAATTCGCCTCGAAAGTCTGGTCAGAACGCACCCTGGGATGGGTGCGGGGAGCAGCGGTATCGGTACCTTCTGGCTTCCCCCAATCCGAGCTCGTTGTTTCTGCTGTCCCGTGGGGGAGGGACGCATCGGGTCACGAGGGTGGACCTCGGGGTGCGTCTGCACGGGGACCAGCCCGGAGCGGATCTCGGCGGGAGCCATCGGGGTTCTGCCATCAAGTTGTTCTTGGTCTGTTTGTTCCCGCGGTGTTCCGTGGCTTTCCCCCCGACAGGTTAGGGTCGGCAGTTAGATTCAAAGAACCGATTTCCCGTCCCGTCCACTCTGCATGCCGCGCGCGGCCGCTTGCTCCCCAGGTCCCCCGAGTGTCCCCGAGTGTCCCCGGGCTCGCGCCACTGTGCATGCCGCGGCCGCCAGCGTCCCAGGTCCCCCGAGTGGCCCCGAGGGTCCCGCCTCGCGCCGGCTCGCGCCACTCTGCATACACCCTAGGCGATGCTTAAGAAAACGTAAGTTTTCGGCCAGAGTCTCGATTATTCTTAATGTTTCAATGTAAATCCTAAGATTTTAATAGAAATTCTGGGTTTTTATTGCAATTCTGAGACTCTGAATTTCTTAACCCATGATTTCTTAAGCATTTCGCAGGGTGTACTGCGGCCGCCAGCTCCCCAGGTCCGCCGAGTGTCCCCGAGAGTCCCGCCTCGCGACACTCTGCATGCCGCGGCTGCCAGCTCCCCAGGTCCCCCGAGTGGCCCCGAGGGTCCCGCCTCGCGCCGGCTCGCGCCACTCTGCACACTGCGGCCGCCAGCTCCCCAGGTCCACCGAGTGTCCCCGAGAGTCCCGCCTCGCGACGCTCTGCATGCCGCGGCCGCCAGATCCCCAGGTCTGCCGAGTGTCCCCGAGGGTCGCGCCTCGCGCCGGCAAAGCACAACATGACAGAGCGATTTTTTAGCAGAGCAGAGCTGAGCACAGCACAACCAAATAAGCGATGACAGGACAGTACATACAACCACACCACCTAACATAACGTTTCCGAGCATCACGTAGTCTACCATGACAGAGCATCTCGTACCGTAACACACCATGACACAATAGCGCGTACCAGTTCACAGCATCAGAGCCCAGAACATAACATAACATGGCAAAGCGAACATGCCATACGAAAACATCACATAACTAAACATACCAGACTATAACATGCCGCAACCTCACACAGCCTGACATACCACATCATAGCACAGCCCATCATTAGACAGTATGCCATGACAGATCGGAGCATCCATCACATAACACCATAGGGCATAGCAAATCATTACATGACCAGAACATAACATAGCATACACACCAAACCATGGCGTCACAACACATAATTCATGCCATTCCGCATCGCAGCACGGATGACACATCATCACATGACAGAGTGCGACCTAAGATGTTTCACCATGGCAGAACATAGCATATGATAAGAACATACGCTATGGGCTACGCCAGAAAGGGTCACACACACAACAGAGCATAACCCTATCATAACACAACACACCATGGCAGAACAGATCACACGGTATCACAACATCACGTCAAACAGCATTCCAGAACATTTCAAATGCGGCGTGCGCACCTTTGGGAACAAACGCCGCAGTTTTCGGTGGGGATCTCTCGTCGCAGAATATTAGCGCTTTCTGAATAATTCTAGACGCTTCGCGTATCCCCACCAGCCCGTCCAGAAACGACGCCCAGGCGAGTAGAGGGTCGTCCTGAGGGGCTTTTCGCCGTCTTGGGTGCCTCGGGGGGGCCTCTGTGGGCCGTTCGGGATCCTCTGTGGGGCCTCCTGGGGGCCTCTCGGGGCCTCTGGGGGCCATCTTGGGGCCTTTGGGGGCCTCCTGGGCGCTTCTTGGGGCCTCCTGGGCGCTTCTTGGGTGCCTCTGGGGGGTCTCTTGGGGCCTCTTGGGGGTCTCTTGGGGGCCTCCTGGGGGCCTCTAGGGGGGCCTCGGAGCCATCTTGGAGGAGATCGATCAACGAAGGCGGGTTCCCTAATTACAGCCCCCCCCTCAGGAGCCACGATCTTCGTGAAGGGTGTCGAATTGTAGCCCTCCCAGGGGTCGATCTTGGGCGCTCCAACGCGCCGCGGAACCCCCTGTCCAGGTCAGTGGGGAGGGGGTAGGGGGAGGGGTAAACCCCACCCCGAAGGGGAAGAGGGAGGGGTGGAAGAGGAAACTCGTTAAACCACCGACGCCAAGAGGGCTGGTGGGATTCCTCACCTTTCGTATGAGTAGTTCGAAGAGTTATGCACTGCCTTTGCGCCGTTTGGGCGCCTGGCTGCCTTGCTTGGGCCTTTTCGAAGCCTTCATGGGTACGGCCCGACTCCTCTCCGGGTTCTGTCTGGTCAGCACGTGCCACGGTGATGTTGGGGACGAGTTTCTGGGGGATCGTCGCAGCAGCCGGCGTCGTCGTCGTCGTGGCCGTTGTCGTCCTCCTCTTTTGTTGAATGGGCCTTCGGGGGCCTCCCTCGAGTCCCCTCAAGCGTATTTCGTGATCGCCTGCGTCGCCGTAGCCGCCGCTATCGCGGCCTCCGTCACCGTCGCTGGTGAGGCCCAGCCGTCGTCCTCGTCGCCGTCGCTATGAGAGCCAGCCCTCTTTTTCGTCGTCGTCGTCGTTCTCCCGCTAGCCACGTGCGACCGTCTTTTCGCTCACTTTTTGTTCGGCCGCCTGGGCACGCGGGTCAGCTGAGAATCTGGAGAGCGAGCCGTCAGGCCCGTTGCTCCCGAAGTTGGTGCGACTGCAGGGGGGTCCCAGGAAAGTTCTTGAGCACATTCAGTTGTCCACTCTTACAACCACAAGCCGGTCCCTAACAGTTGCACTTTTTTGCGCGTCGTAGGGCTTGCGCTCCAAGCCACACCAGCGCATTGGGCGGCTGGGGTCGGGCAAGACAGTTGCAGATAGATTATCGCATTCCGAAAAGTACTCCGCGTAATTAGCAAGCCCACCCCATGCCAACCCGCCCAACATCGCATTCCATCCCCAACGCGTCGAACCTAACCCACAAGCCGCAAGCCGTCTCGCTCTCTCCCACCAGCCTCTGAAGACGCGATGAAGTAGCACCCGAGTCTCAGCGTGGGCATGGGCCGCAATCGACGAGCATCGGGAACCAGTGCAGACGCCAGCCAGGTTCGCAACTCAAGCCGAGCACCTCAGTCATCCCCGTCACACAGTATTGCAAAATGATCGCGGGGCACCCACACATGGAAAACAAGTTTGCCGTAGCGTGCACTTTGCATGGCTTGTAAAGGGGTGGTTTGCCTGCAAACGTGAGGCAATATGCTACTTCCCTTCCCTGGCTCCTGTCACAAGACACTAGCCTGCGTGGGCTCCAAACAGTGCGCCATTGCACTGTGGAGGTGTCTATGCGGCGAAAGCTATGTCGTGGAAGCTATGGGGTGTGAGCTGGCGAGGCGACAAATATGCGGTGTAAGCTATGCAGTGTATCACCACCCACCAAGCCACCCCAACCCAACCCGAAGGCCCAAATTTATCCTCGATTTCAAGTGGGGGGGGGTCGGGGAACGTTGAAAAAGCACATGGTATCCGTA